GAAGACGAGCGCTGATCTGATTTGCTGTGATGACACGATTTCTCAAGGCCAAGGTACGGATAAATCGATCCTGGGCTTGAGTTGTCGCCCTTGGTCGACCTGAGCGTGGTCTGTCCTGTACAGATTGTGTATCACGGTATCTGGACCATAGCCTGCTTATGACAGACTGAGAAACATTCATCGTCCGCGCCACAACCGCCTGTGTTGTGCCGATCTGTAGCATGCCAAGGGCACGTAACCTTTCATTTTGGGTAAGCCGACGCATATCAAAATTTGTTTTCTGGTCACTAAAACAATTAAACTGATGTTTCCACCCTGGAATTCAATGCCACAATGACTGTAACATTCAAAGTCAGAGTCGTGCAAATCTTGGGTTGGACCCCCATGATGATCCCAAGCATCACCTGCATTCCATGCGGTAGCTATTGGTGCGTTTGGGCGTCACATGTAACTGGCAATGTTTCTTCTGTTAGGTTCTATAGTGACTTTTTTCGTAGTCATTTGCATATTTTAGTATTATGCCCCCCAAATAAATATCCCCTACTTTTTTTGAATAGTATATTTGATGGGGGTAGGGATATCGTTTTGGTTCTTGTTCTTTGATGCTGAAAAAACTTGAACATAATTTACTATCATCTGAAAGAGTAAAGGGTGACCAGTGCATATTTCTGTTCAAAACTTCTAAATTTGCATATATGACGCAATTGTGATGTAATAGTTTCAAGTTTGAATAATCTGTAGCAACGGATTAAGTTCCCGAACTTAAAATCATAGTGTTTTTGTTATTTTACGAAATTCCAAATGTTTTAAATACTACAATGATATTCAAATGAGTAAATGTAACCAACAAATAGGTTTTAAATATCATCATTTGATATAATGTCCGGCATAACATTTACGGTGTCGATGAAGAACAAGGCCTGACTCATTCATGATTTGTTCTTCTCGGGGGACGCGCTCAGTCGTGCGAAAGGGTTCGTCCCCGTCGACGTATCTTCTGGTGTGTAGCTAGTCGCGGCCGGCTTGGTGTGCTACTTCTCGGCTGTAGTCAGGCGACGGGCGCGTTTTTCGAGGGGTTGCGCCTGTCTACTCTGGTCGGCGCTAAGGCGAACGCCGCTTCGGATTGAGGAACGACCCCGTTCTCTCTCCTCCCAGAAATTTCTTCTTCTTCTTCTTATACCATAAGTTAATTCAGGGCTCTCTCCGAAAGTAGGGCTAAGCTATTAACATATTTTTGTAAAAAAAATTCTATTTGCCAATTCCGTATAATGAACTTGTGCTGTCACAACCAGATAACGCATGTACTGCATGCAGGTAAACATAGGCTTCTTTTATAAGCAATATTTTTATTTAGATTTGTATCTGAATAGGGCTTGGGGAACAGGCATAGCCTATATTAAACCCCTCTCCCTGTCAAGATATAGATACATGTATTTACATTTTAGAAATAAATAATCAACGTACACATGAAATTATGATTGTGTTATTATAGTTGTCTCTGGAATGGATTTACATTTTAGAAAATAAAATTGAAAATATAATTATAATGAGTGCGTTATAGTTGTCCTCTGGTGATTTGGAAAAACGAGTGGACAGTTTTATAAATATTGAGTGAGTTTTCAATGTCGTCAGTTTCGTGCAATACGACAGTAGTGTTTCGATGGATAGTAGGTAGATTATTTATTGTATTATTTCGGGCATCTGAATATAAGGAACAGTTCAATAAAAAAATGTCCAATATCTTCAAAGTGATGACCACATTTACAGCATGGATTGTCAGAAATGTAACGTCGAAATTTATGTCAGTTTAGATTGCTGCAACAGAGGCACGGTTTAGAATGAATGATTTGGTTTGCGCTGGATCCAATCGAAAAAGTTTTTGGTGGTGTTGAATCTTGAGCCATATGTTTCGAATTGAAAATATACTCTTCAAAAAAAGTAGGGGATATTGAAATGCAAATAGCTATGCCGGTTGCGATATGATAAATAGTCATGGACATTTGACATGCTATTAGAGTATGTTCACAGATGAAGAACTTATCGCCCCAACAGAACCACTGAGCTGCACATGCGACACGTAATAGCGCCATACATGTGGGAGGGGTTCATTGTCAAATTTGACACTAACTTCAAGGAAGGGTTGATGAAATCTGCCGCGTGCTGGTTTATCTATCCATGTTTGCTTTCCTGTCGGTTCTTGCATAAGATTTACTGTTTAGCGTATTTTTGCTTTAGTGTGTTACGTTTAATTTGATCGGGAGACGTGTTCGTCGACGTCAATGTCAACCGACGACACTGCAAGAATTGGACATGGCACTGCAAGAGGAGTGGGTCAGATTGCCCCAAATCGTGATTGGACGGTTGATTAGGAGCATGCCACGACGAATTGCTGAATGTCTTAGGATTGGTGGAGCAATTACTCATTATTAAGACAAAAATCAAAAACGTTCATTTTTATGTGGACGTATATTGCCAACGCCCCTGTCCGTCTGGACAATTGTTTGTGAACACTCTACAGGTCACAACGTTTATCCCATTTCAATGCAACTTGAAATATAGGTTTATCACCATAAGATCTCGGTTCTAGAGGCCACAATTTTGATCCGATTTTAATGAAACCAAAGATCTTGGTTCCTGTCAATATTCGCGCATATCGAATCGTAACTTCCCGAATTATGACCTCTGGTTGTACGAAAAATCGCGATTTTAGCTTGTGCTCCCTCTAGACGTCACAATTATCTTTCGATTTAAAAAAAACGTTCGCATATATCACCGTTACACCATAATGTTTGTTGACTTTGAATTTCGTGAATATCGGGCCAAAACCGCTGGACGAAATGGCCGCTCCTCGTATGCAAATAGTGTAAACATCTGGTAAATCAAGGTTGTGGACCCTCTAGGGATCACAATTTTGATCAGATTTTGATGAAAGTTGAAATACATGTTTATAACCCAAACATCTTGGTTACTTTCGATATTCGCGCCTATCGGATTGTATCTTCATGAATTATGGCCCTTGAATGTACAAATAATCGCGTTTTGAGCTCGTGGTCCCTCTAGAGGTCACAATCATTATTCGATTTAACAAAACGTTCAAATATATCACCGTTACACCATGTAATTTATGTTGACTTCGAATTTCATGAAAATCGGGCCAAAACTGCTGGACAAAATGACCGCCCCACGTACGCAAAGTGTAAACATCTTGTAAATCAAGGCTGTGGACCCTCTAGAGGTCACAATGTTTTCTGAATTTGATGAAAGTTGAAATACATGTTTATAACCAAAAGATCTTGGTTCCTTTCGATATTCGCGCGTATCGGATTGTATCTTCCTGAATTATGGCCCTTGAATGTACAAAAAATCACGTTTTTAGCTTGCGGTCCATGTAGAGGTCACAATTTCTATCTGATTTAAAAAAAAATCTTGTGAATATATCACCATTACAAACTAAGATCTTGATTCCTTTTGATAATCGCGTATATCCGAACGTAACTTCTTGGATTATGGCTCCCGATTGTTCGAAAAATCGCATTTTTAGCATGCGGATTCGCTAGAAAACCGTTTAAATATATCACCATTCCACTATAATGAAGGTTGAATTCGAATTTCGGGGAAATAGAAATGAAACCGCCCCACAAAATGGCCGCACGTTGTACGCAAATTGTGTAAAAGTATGCTAAGAAGGTTGTGGACCCTCTAGAGGTCACAATTTGTATCCGATTTTGATAAAACTTAAAACATATCTTTATATCCCAAAGATCTCAGTCCCTTTTGATATTTGCGCATTTCAGACCATAACTTTCTGGATTATTGCCCCTGATTGTACAAAAATCCCGTTTGTTTTTAGCTTGTTCTCTGTCCATCTCTTGCAAAATGTAGGCGTATCCTACCTGGCAGCCGCTGGTCACTTTTGACGGTGCATTTCTTTGCGAGTGAAATGGGACCGTCAGATAAGCCGCCCATATGAACTGTTTATGTTCATGTGTAGGCAATTGGCCTTTTATTAACATACACTGGTTACCTCCAATAAAAACAGCAGTGCATTTCCGCAGTTGTGTTTTGCTTCTGAATATCCCCTACTTTTTTTGAAGAGTATATTTAGAGATATTATATTCAAAAGACTGAAGTTTAAAAAATAATCACCCCTAACCGACTTGACGTACAATACCATCAGCACTGGAATCACCTATAGTAACTCGTAATTTTAGCCAAAGACCCCCCCGACAGAATCTTTGTCGTGTATCAAAGAGGATGGTATCGATCATGCGTTGCTGTTTCTGCAGACATTCGCTCCAACCAAATATTGACGACTATACAAATCGGGTTCAGCAACGGTAACAAGTGATATGGGTTATTTAATAGTTTAAACGTTCGCTGCTGGAAGGGGCATGGGGTTTTCAGGATCGGTTAATAGAGGCGAGAATGATCTGGAGTTGACAATTGTAACAGCCTCTGAATTCAAGAATATTCTAGGATCACGAGATAGTTGAGATCTTCCAAGTTGTAGTAGCATTATTTCCAGGCCACATTGTATAGTTCTCATTCTACCGATATCTAACGATTAAGTTGTAAATTAGGTACGAGTTTCTTATGAATGGGATATACCAACTATGCAGAATATCGGGGGACACGATTTTCTAACATAAAAATAGTATAAAAATCTCTCTGATACTGTGATTATGTCACACATAATGCCGATTTTATATTTGTAGGGAAATCTATCTGTAAGATGTTGTATGTACAACAGTTTTATTTAACATCCGCTCACACATTTAAGTTATATCGCTATCAGTTACAAAATACTACAAAATATAGTGCTACTACTTATTTATATCCATTTTACCTAGTATTTGGATTCAATATTGTAAAGGTCGTTTGGTTTCATGTACTAAATCTGAAAGAGCTAGATTTTAATTCATTATCAAGGACGCTTTGCGGCTGGGATGGCTTCAACAACATTATAATTTCATCATATTCAATTTTAAAACAAAACATACCTTTAATAATAGAACTGCAGTTAGATCCATAATAACCTATTGGACAGTTACATGACCCCGCCTCTTCACATGTGTATTCCTGAAATTAAGATGCATTAATTTATTAATATATATAAATGTGTTTGTTCAGGGCCCTGTTTCTCGAAATCTTAACTAAAGATAAAATCCAAATTTTAGTAGATACTTCAATCTTGATTGGGTAAGCACTTAAATCAGACTAATATTATCCAATCAATTTACTAAAATTTGGATTTTATCTTAGTTAAAATTTCGTGAAAGAGGCCCCTGTAATACAAGTGTATTTCTAAAATACGTCACGGTTAATTAACAACCTAGACTGTATTAAATAAGACGTTGAGTTTTGATGCGCACTGAAATCGAACACATTCAATATCTTTTGATCCTTAACATATTTGTTAAGTTTCATCTGAATCAGACAACAATTGTGGCCTTTGGAAGGTCTACAAACTTTATACATGTACATATTTCACATTTTGCATTTAAGGCAAGGGGGCATGTTTTATGTTTCATCTAAATTGGACCGACATTGTGGCCTCCAGGGGGTCTACAACCTTGGTATTACATACGTTTACACTATTTGCGGACAGGGCGTAGTCATTTTGTCGGGAAGTTTCCATCCGATTTTCACGAAATTCGAACCCAACGGTAATTATGGTGTAACGGTGATAATACTTGAACGGTTTTTAAAATCAAATAAAAAGTGTGACATCTAGAGGGGGCACAGCGCGATTTTTCGTACAATCAGGGACAATAATCCAGGAAGTTATGGGCCGATATCGACAAAAACGTTGATCATTGGCTTATAAACATATTTTAAGTTTAATGAAAATCGAAAAACATTGTGACCTCTAGAGTGTCCACAAGATAAAAACGCGATTTTTTGTACAACCAGTGGTCATAATCCATGAAGTTACCGTCCGATACATGCCAATGTCGAAAGAAACCGATATTGGCATGTATGTCAAGTGACGCCATGCAGTGTGCTATGATGGTAATTCTGTCCGGACAGCGAGGCTAACTGTCTACTCTTATATGCCAAGGGTCATTCTACGTCCACGTCAATGTGTACACGGAACCCCGGTTTGTCGTCCCATCCGAACGACCATACGTTGTTCCTTGCCAGGCCTGCCGTCCTACACCACTGACAAAGGTGGAATCGCGCCGGAAAATCCCAATGAGCTTTCGCGGCCAACCGAGGGATCGAACATGGGACCTCCAAGGGGCGACCGTGGCTCCCGAGAAGGAATAAGACTGCCTGCCTAACCTTGTTGATATTGCTTTGGTTACTCTTTTTTGCTCGCACTTCCAAAGACCGCTACTCTGAACCAATTTAGACACGTGTTAGTCCCAACCGAAAACACATAGGACTGTGTTTTTTGTTTGTTTTTTTTTGGGGGGGGGGGGGGTCGATAAACTGTATTTTTTGCTCGGTTTTGTGGCTTTTATCAGATTACACATGTTGATAGGTAATCATTTCTATGCTGCAAGACATTTCCATAGACAAGACAAATTCAAGCAAAAACAATTAAAAAGATTTATGCTTATGATTTCCCAATAAAAAGATAACAAACGTCAAGTTTTTGTATAGAATTTACCTTCCTGTAACAGTCACACCCTTGTCCAGTTCCCTCACGCACTAAGCAATCTTCTCCACTATTGTATAATTTACAGTTGAAACGGTTAGTAGTAGAATCAATGCATGTCATGTATCTCCTACAATCTGGGAGTTCTGAACACCGTACAGAACAATCCATTTTAAAGTTGAAAACAGCCGATTGACTCCCAGCATCGTTCGGACAGTTATCCTCAATTATCTTGGTTTTAAGATAAGAGGATGTCTTTTTGATTACGAGACATTTTCCAAATGGAGATACAAATAAAATTATCCAGAGACCAAGACAAAATTGCCTCATGATGCTGAAAGTCAGTGGGTGATCTGCTAATGTCCAAATACAACTTGTACAGTGTGATCAGTGAGTAAACTGCATATGTCCAAATATAACTTGCACAGTGTGATCGATTCTTCTGGGAATTTGACATTAGCACATTTGAATCGTATGTCAATTTAAATGTAACAGTTTTATAACTATCATTATCGATTCACGAAGTAAAATCGATATTGTGTGAAGTATTCAGATGATTCGAGACAACAACATCCTCTTCTCCTTATACTTATATTGACTTTTTCTGCTTTTATGGTTGGTTATTATAAATTTGTTACCCGAAAGACACTCATGGGGCAAGCACTGGATAAAAATTTCAGGGTATCACTAACTTGCAATCTGACTGTTGTCTGCCAGCTTGACTGAGGAAGCGGTTGTTATTTCTTGATCAAATATTTAGGCGGTTTGGGGAACATAGAGGGGTGTCCACGTACAAAAGACTACAATTAAACGGCGGAAAAAGAAGTTGACAGCAAATAATTAAGAATTTGCTTATGCCTCAATATGTATGACAGTAAGTAATGAAAAATACAAGGTTGTTAGTGAGTACAATTGATAAGTTGAAGGGATAATTTGTAACTTTTGTATACAATCCAATAATAAAAAAAACACAGATTTGCAAATATCTTCTAAAAATGTATCCCAAAAGAGTAAAAGTTTGGCAGTAACGTGGTCCTATATGATTTATGAGCACATAAACTACTTACGAGGGGTGATTGATAAGTAGTGAGTCTAACACAGAAAGAAACAAGAAATTCAAATCAAATGCATTTATTTTTGAACATAGTCCCCCTTCTATGTAATACACTTCTGCCATCGGTGTTGCAGAGCCTTTATTCCATTTCTGTAGAAGTCTTTGTCTTGGGTGTGTAGAAAATCATCCACAGTGGCAATGACGTTATCGTCAGACGGGAAATGCGTACCGGAAAGACATTTCTTCAGAGCAGGAAACAAGATAGAAGTCTGAGGGGGCTAAATCAAGAGAGTAGGGTGGATGCTGAAGAAGTTGAAAACCACAGTCATGGATTGCTGACATGACAACAGCTGATTAGTGCACTGGCACATTGTCCTGGTGACAAATGACACCTTTGGTCAGCTTTCCTTGTCTTTTGGTCTTAATTTCTTGCCTCAACTGCCTTATAAGTGCTGCATAGTATCTACCGTTAATTGTTTGACCCTTTTGGAGGTAATCCACCATGAGAACACCCTGAGAATCCCAGAATACTGAGGCGATCACCTTTCCTGCCGATAAAACAGTCTTTGCCTTCTCAGTGATAATAGAATGAACTCTCTCCTGGCTAATAACAACTACCCCAGCTATAAATCGTTCAGTAACTCGCCGGTCATTCATTATCAGATCATGGATTTTTGTACCATTTCAGGTGTTGACAGTTTTTGGTCGACCAGGGCGTGGTTCGTCTTCAATGCTGTCTCGGCCACGCTTGAATTCAGCTGGCCACCTTTTAATCGTGGCATTTGTCTCAACCATATCATCATGTATGGCTTTCGGCGTTAGACCCTTTTTATGCAGATACTTAATCACAGCTCTCGCCTCGATATGGTCCATTTTCTGATAACAACAGACCCTACTTGATTGTTATGACCTGTCACAACCAAACAGTTTAACCGAATGAGATGAAGGTTTGTGACAGAGCCCGAGGAACATAATAGTGCACGTGCAAAACGTGGTATCATTGTGTTGCAGGGTTTTCCAATCGAGGCTCACTACTTATCAATCACCCGTCGTAGTGTGAGTAGGCCGTATAGACCTCACTCACTGCTGGATTTTGCCTACAACGTTGTCATTGTCGGATACGGGATATTTGTTCAGTGGGGAGATAGGGGGTCATCCTCCCACCAAGTTTGAAAAAATCGGAGTGATTTGTGGCTCACATCTGGACCAATATATAACATTCAATTTAATCAGCTATCTACCCTACCAACAAAAAGTGTACATGTACCGTTCATAAGTACAGCTCTGGTGTTTATTTTATTTTTATTAAACTTTTTCAGATTTATGGCATATGACAAACCATAATTTTTTCTGTCTTTTATTATTTTCTGGAATAACTTTTTTTAAAATAAACCTTTTTAAAACTCGATACTGCCTCTAATTAATTTTCAAACTTAGGGTAAATGATTATAAGGTGAATGTCTTGACTGTGATTATTTTCCGGTTAAGTTCAAGCACAGAGATATTAATTGATTCTAATTGACTGAGAGGGATTAAAGTTGGTGTATAGTTTCACTACATCAATACCTCGACATAGTTTAATGAAGACCATTACTGTACTCTATAGTCATTTTACCTAGCTCCTTAAATTACACATTATTCGCAAACTATTCAATCAAATGCGCATTAATATTGTTTTTTTTATATTTTTACATTCAGACTGCATTCATGGAAATCAATGTGGTTTATCATTCATACAGCCAAGTTCAACTATGGAACTATTCCAAGTGTTCTGTGATTTTACAAACGAGTCAACATTCTTTCAGAATCGAAACGCTGCTTGCTTGCCAATTAATTTTAATCGAACGTATGATGATTATGTGAAGGGCATGCTGAATTTTGGTTGGGATTAGAAAGGATAAAGGCGATAATAGATGCTAATGCTGACATAAACTTAAAATTGGATATCATGATGATGCTGACAGACAATCCAATCGACGAATACAAACAAGCCGTCTACACAAACTTACACACAAGAGATGGGCAAGGCATTGCCATGCACAGCTTTCCAAAAAACGCAGTTTGTGGGAGGTTAAGGTAAAAAGAAGCGGTTGGAAGCCTGGTAAACATTCTTTCTTGTGTGATGGAGTAGCCTATCTTTCTTTTTTTTTTAACGATTTCAGGCGACCGTTGATTGTTCTTGTAATTCGAAGAAGTTCTTAACCTAATGACATTCACGTGATTGGTTAGTTTTTGGTTTTGATAAATGAATTTTGGAAGATTAGTTATTGAGAATAACACATTTGACAGTGTAGACTAAACAGCCTATGTATAGGCTTAGCCTAATAGTAGATGTTTTTTTCGATTTAAATTTCGTCTGTAAGACATAAAGTTTTGCGGTTTTGGTCATTTTTTATACATATATAATGTGTAATGACTTCATCTATGAGTGAATTTTCGAAAATTTATTATGAACTTGAGAATGACACTTTTGAGCTTCATACAGTGTAGGCCTATGTATAGGCCTAGCCAGGTACTAGATGTTTTTCGATTTAAACTTCATCGATAAGGTCATTTTACTTTTTTATATAAGTGATTATATTTGATGACTTCAACTTCATGCAGGAGTGAATTTTCAACAGTTTGTTATAAGCTCGAGACACAGTGTAGGCCTAGGTGTTTTTCTATTCAAATTTCGTCGATATGGTATGCAGTTATGCGGCATGTTACTGTTTTGGCAAAGTGTCGGATTCGACATACCGGTACTATATTATTATGGTAATTGGTATTTTAAATTTCATTCAATATAGGATTATATGACATTGGATCGTTAATGTTCGCTAATGCTTGTGTTTTACAGAAACATTTTGACGACACCCAAAAGGAGGTGGGACGAGTAGATGGAACCAAACCACTAAAACATAACGCAGTTCCTAATGTTTTCGACCATAGTGTGACTAAAAAGATGTTCCGCGAATTCGAAAAACATCGAACATACCCACACTTCCCACTACACTTATTCGTACATAAGTACCCCAAGGAAACAGAGAAGCGGAACAAGGGTAGTAGAGTGGAAACGTTTATATTTTGATTAATTAAAACCAGAGCAAGGAACAGTGTCTATTTCTTTGAAAGGTACGATAAACCGAGTTACCGTGTACATATTGACGTGCAGATAAAAGAATCCTTGACAGATGGAATTTAAAATAAGAGTACTCAGCAGGCCGTAGCGCCACTGGCCGTGCAAACTTTCTCTCATAGCACACTGAATGGACCTAAAACTAGGCTCAATATTACGCATCATTTATTATTATCTATTGATTTAAATTTGTTTTATTTATTTTTGTTAATTTTCTATTTTCAGAAGCATTTTTCTCAATATTAGCCGAAAGAAAGGAACATCACGAAAAGAAACTTTTGCGCAGAAACTTCTCCGACAGTACAGTGTTTAACGGGACAAATTACGCGAATCTTTTCGTGAAAAGTGAAAAATGGCACGGGAAAAAGCAAATTTGAATTAAAGACTCACATTTCAGTTCAGATTCACCTGCGGAACTACTGGGTATGAAGAACCTTTGTGCCAGTCTCAACCTTTGCCATGTTTGCGTTCACTAAGGCGCAAACTACATGATGTGAAGACGGAACCAGGTGTAATGAAACTTTTGAACTACTGAAACTGCAGTTGAATCATTTTCTAAGAAAGACCGAAACTGTGTACTAACTTTGGATGAAACTGCTCTGAAGGTAGGATATCAGTACGATAAATCAGGCAGTTGTATTCGTGGCAGTGTTACCAGTGAGAAAGACCGAAACTGTGTACTAACTTTGGATGAAACTGCTCTGAAGGCAGGGTATCAGTACGATAAATCAGGCAGTTGTATTCGTGGCAGTGTTACCTTACCTGGACATTCCGTTGTCGCCACACACGGCTTGGTGTTCATGTTGGGCGGTATTTCAACAAGGTGGAAACAAGTTATCGCTTACCACTTCACTGGTGATAGGGTTCATTTATCGTCTTGGAAATAATTGGGGGATCATGTGGCTAAGTGGGTAAGGCGCTGGCTCGCTAGCCTGGAGGTCGGGTGTTCGATCCCTGCATTGGCCGAGAAAGTTCATTCAGATTTTCCGGCGTGGTTTCCCCTTGTCAGTGATGCAGGATGGAGGGCCTGTCAAGGACAGCTGTCTAGTCGTTCGGATGGGACGAAAAACCGAGGTCCCGTGTACACATTGGCGTTCACGTAAAAGATCCCTTGGCAGTT